AGCGGGCGGGGCGCTGGGGTCTGGCTCGAGGGCCCCCGCGCGGCTCTTTCTGGGCTCCCGCCGGAGCTTTCCCTGAGGCGAGCCTTGAGCTCCAGACCCCGTGATTGATGACGTCAGGCAGCGGCCAAGGAGTCTACGCAAATAATTTGCATAATAAGGAAGCAGCAGCCAATCAGAGCTGGAGTTGACCGGGCTCTGACGGAGGCGAAGGGGCGGCTGGACTCACGCGCTCCTGCTCGCCATGGCAACCAGACCTTCAGATGTATATGTGTCAAGTGTGCGCGGGCGTGGCAGTGAATGGCGCGTGTGCGCCTTGGACAGCATGAGGGGAAGTAGCTTCGTCATGCGTGGTGATGTCTGCGGGAGTTACCCTCTTCCTCACGCATAGGCACACACACCTCCTATCATAGGGGCCTTTCCTGCGGGGGTGGATGGTTATCCCTCTTCTACATTCCCACTGACGAAGCCAATTTCTTGGAGCCATCCTACCCCACCTCATCACACATCTCTTTCTTCGGTGTCTTCGACCATTTCCTTAGCCATGAGCCTCAAACACGTTCGTCTTCCCAGCATCTCCGTCCCCGCGCCCCCCTCCCCCACATTTTTTTTTAATTTTAAAGAAAAAAAAGGAATAAAATTAAAAACTGCAAAAACACTCCTTGAACATTGATTCCTCCTCAGGATAGTGAAGACTTATATTAGCCATATGCTCAGATATCTGGTTCATTCCAATTTCGTGAACTATGGAGTGCTATCTACCTTTTCTGGACAAGGAAGCTGAGGTTCTGAGAGTGAAGGAAGTTAGGATCAAGCCCCACTACAACATCTGTTGAGCCCAGGGCAAGAGAAGAAATGAAAACAGACAAACTGTGTGTTTACATATTTAAATGTTGTCACCCTGGCCGGGTGGCTCAGTTGCTTGGAGCGTGGTCCTGTACAACAAGACCTCTCTCTCTCTCTCTCCCCCTCCTTCCCTCCCTCCCTCTTTTTCTCTCAAATCAATAAACATATCCTGGTAATGCAGACTGGTACAATCACCATGGAAAAGTGTGGAGATTCCTCAAAAAATTAAAAATGGAACTGCTGCTGCCGCTGGTATGGTTCAGAGGTTGAGTATCCACCTATGATCCAGGAGATGGTGTTTCAATTCCCAGTCAGTGCACATGCCCTGGTTTCAGGCTAGATCCCCAGTGAGGGGTTTGCAGGAGGCAGTTGATCAATGACTCTCTCATCATTGATGTTTCTATTTCTCTCCCTCTTCCTCTCTCTGAAATCAATAAAGACATATTTAAAAAAAAAAAAAAAGAGGGAGAAGAACTGCCATTTGACCTAGTGATTCCACTTCTAGGAATATATCCTAAGAAGCCCAAAACACCAATCAGAAAGAATATATGCATCCCTATGTTCATAGCAACATTATTTACAGTAGCTAATGTCTGGAAACAGCCCAAGTGCCCATCAGTAGATGAATAGATAAAAAAAAACACCTGTGGTACATTTACACAATGGAATACTATGCAGCTGTAAAAAAGAAGGATCTCTTATCTTGGGGAGTATTATGCCAAGTGAAATAAGCCAGTCAGAGAAAGACAAGT